TTTAGTAGACTATTACGTAAATGGCAGGAGATAAATCAATTATATCCTGGCTAATTGGAATAGTAAAATTTTACTTATTCCTAATTAGCCAGGATATAACTAATACATATTGTGCGGGTGAGTTAGTGCTGAATACAAATAATCTAACCCCAGTAACTAAAGCTTGGATCCAGCCAACCAATTTCTGTGCTCGACCCATTCCTCCAACGCCGTTGAAAACCCATACGTAATTAGAACCCATGAATTGTGTCGATGCATTAACTGGACTAAATGGTGGTGGGTAGTTGTTAAGTTGAAAGTTGGGCATATTTTGCCGACCAATATCAGCTACAACATAGGTCAGATCAATTAATCCACGTATCTCTTCGTGGTTATCTAAAAATAGGTTGAAATCATGGCAAAGGCCCATGCTCCATCACTGTTATCTCCTGTTCCATCAATAGCAATTCGACCAGAAAGAAGTTTGCGATTGGCATGACATCATCTTCATTCCAAAGCGAAGGTTGTTTATTTGAAAGCTTTGTTATGGGCTCTAAAAGTAATTTTCCTGAAAGTATAAAGTGATAAGTTCATAAATATTTGGCGTTTTTCTTATATAGTAAAAGTGCTTAGAGACGTAAAGCATACCTTGGAGCGGTACATCATTTTGTACTGCATTACATTTAAGTCTGTTTCTTTATCCGAGGCAATACACCAAGCTTGCTTGGTATGCTTCGTCGATTTCTTCCTGAATATTTTTCTTTTTCGTATTTTTCTTAGCTATTTTTTTCTTAAACTTCGTTTCTTTTCTCTCGACTTTCTTCGTTTCTTTTCCCTCGACTTTATTCTCCTTTTCATTCGTCCTCCTTTTCAATTTCAAAAGCGAACTAACAAAAAAATGGTACATTAGGATATGAAAAGAGAAGAGTTATCATAATAATAAATAAATCAGAACAACTTACCCTCTTCTAGAAAACCTTACGTAAAAAAGTTTGAGAAGAAATAGCTTTGCTGTGTACGTTGATGTATTAAGGTAAAAAAAGTTTTTTTATACGCGATTACGCGATTTAGTTATTATTATTTTTTGGTTTTTATTTATCAGTAAATTTTCCGGTCTTGTGATTTGCACCGTTATGATTAGACACGTTTCAAACAATGGCAAAATTTATGATCAAAGATAGATATTAGCAAGATAAGTAATAAATGATGTAAAAATCAGTTATAAAATTATACAAAACTTGTTCTTTGTTTTTGCAACTGAAAAATGAGCAAACGAAAAAATTATATTTTTAATAATACTTTTCCCGATGATTTTGATTCTTACAAATTCGAAAATGTAAATGGTATAATTACCAAATCTTCACAAGCATCGCATGCACTACCAGATCTTCAATCATTAGAATTGACTGATAGTGAAACCGAAACACAACGTTGGTCAGATTCCGAAATCTAACTTATACCGCACACAAAAAAACAAAATTTTGTGCTAAAGCTGCAATTAATATTGGAAATAAAAAAACAGCTATACAAGTAAGATCTAAAATTCAATCGCTGATTACGAAGAAAATCGTGAAGAAACGGGAAAAGGCAGATCCTGTTGGACATATTTTAATGAAATGAATGAGATTTTTGGAAACCGAATGATCTGATTTAAAATTAATACATATAAATTCATTTTTTAGTCTGATATTGAAAGTGAGGTCGAAAGTAATCTATCTACAAAGCGTAATAAACGGAAAGATTTCTGAAAGTGATCGCCTTTATTTAGATGCTTTAGGAACAATTAACCAATCCAAAAAAATGGCAATCGAAATTGAACAAGAAAGGTTGAATTTCGAAAAGCAAAAACTTGAAATTAAACAAAATGAAAAGAAGTTAGAAAGAGAAGTCATGTTAAAAATAGAACAAGAAAAATTAAATGGGAGAAAGAAAAGAATAATCAAATTATATTTTAAAATATAGATTAGATTTTGATTTGCAAAAAATTATACAAAAGCTTTATTGTAGTGAAAAATACTTTAAAATTTTTTGATAATATAAATTGTTATAATCTGCGAGATCACTTGCTTATACAGAATTTAACTTTTTTAGAATTTTTCTTAATAATGTAATTTATTAAATTAGAAATTAAAATTATTAAATATTTGTAAATTTTAACAACGAATTTATTCTCATGTGATTCGTAGTCACGTGAAATTAGTCACAGAAGCCTCCAGTAATTTACTGTTAAAGTCATAATAAATAATTATTAAAATAGTTTCATCTAACGCAATACTCTATATATATATAAAAATGATGATAATATTGTTTCGTTCAATTGTACGGAAAAAGTACTGGTAAGGCGATGTCTGACCATACCCAAGAATTTAAAATTAAAGAATATGTCGCCTTTTCAGCTTATTTTGTTTAAAATGTGAAAAAAAAATTTTCATACTATCCACTTTTTTTAGCTTATGACATATTTGATGTAAGATATTCTCACGCTAATAATTTCTCAACTGAAAAGCGAAAGAATTTTTATCCGAAGAATCTACGCTAACTATTTTAACAATCAAAATTAACAATTATAAATAATAATGAGATATGATATCATGTTAACGTTATGAGAAAATTTACTTTTTATGTCAGAGTCTTCCTGACCTACTTATCTGAAACATTTTGTAACAACATTATGGGGTCAAGAGATTACATACATTCCATGGATAGTTAGGTAGATCCCGGAAGTTTCCCGGCGATTAATTTTTGGATCAATGATGAGAAAATAATAATAAATAATACATGAATCGAGAATATGCATTCAATCCATTACACAAGATGAAGAAGTAAACATTAAGATAAGCTTCCGGATTTCCATCTTTAACGATTGATTTGTTAACTTTCCAAAAATGATTTAATATGAGAACTTTCTAACATGAGAGAATCGAGAATTTTATGTAGAAAGAGAGTAATCCATTTTTACGATATTAATCTCAACTTTTTAAATCAACGATTTTATACAGTACTCAAAACGATTATAAATAGATGTCTTTTCTAACTTCATAATTTTTTTAAAAAAAAAAATTTTTTTTCTGATACGATATAAATCGAAAATGTATTCGTGTGGTTGCTATAATGGACAAATACCTTCCAATGGTAAAGTTACTCAAGCAAATCTCGACTTACGAGGAAAGCTATTTTTCGTTGTCGTGAGATTAGAAAATGGGGTACAAATCGATTTACCTGTACCTACAATTCAGGAAATTAGTGAAAGGTTTTTTTTCAGGAGAGCAAAAACTCGACCTGATAAACCAGCCCGTCCTCCAAATAAATTCTTTATATTTCGTACCATGTTTCAAGTGGCTATTGACAACTTCAAACTTCAAGTTCCGATTGTATCCAGTCTTGCAAGTGAAGTTTGGCGAAAATGCACTCCAGAAGTCATTGAGATATTTACAAAGCTCTCGAATATCGCAAAAATGGAACACGGGAAAATAAATCCTGGATACGTTTATAAGCCCAATAAGACCAAATCACATTGTAAAATAAATCAAAATCAACAAAATACCTTAATTTATCCTTTAAGAAAACCAATTATGGATGTTTCTCAGTGCTCGACGATTACGCCCATACGAACCGCACCTCCAAGAACAACAAACTCGTATTCTTCAACTTTGGCTCTACAAACGAATTCTTCTACAGCTGCTAACAATTTCCAAGCAATTTACCCTTCGCAATATCAATCAATTTATTATATGTCTTCTATAGGAACAAAATAGTCTATTTTTGCGAGATCTTGATTCAGAATGTAAGGATAAGCAATGCGGAAGATGGAGAACAATTTTTCATTTTGGCAAATACTAAGTTATATTTATTGGATGATATAAGAATGAATAATTCAACTTTAATGAATTTTTTCTTTGATTTTACTTTTATCATTTCCGATATGTATCCATTTCATTAAAGATTATTCATGTAACTTATTTCATGTTTTGATTCAATAACAATTTAAAGCTGGTCGTATTTTTAAAAATACAAATTATGAGAACATAAAGTATTGGAATTGTTCGATTTTTGACTGAGATTGAGGGCCTAAAGAATTAAAAATTTAAAAAATAGGGGACGATTCATAAAAAATCTTGTCCAATTATAGGTCGGATATTATTTTTTCATAAAATTTGGGGACCCTTGAATCATTTGAATTCATTGTTCCCAGAAACGTGGACATGAAATCTGTGACAGGTTACGCCGATTGTATTGTACTTTAAAAATGATCAACTAATTATGCTTACAAACAATTTTTTAACGAAATTTTAATTTTGAAACTTTAAATTTAGATTGGAAATGTATTTTTTTGCTCGCTCTACAAAGTTTTACTTAAATGGATTTGATAATAAAATTTGTATTTCGCATCTTTTTTTTTTAAAAAAAAAATACGCCGCCACATACATTAAATTATATAGTTGGCGTAACATTTCAGGTGTGCTGACACGTGGTTAATTCCTAATGCGTAAAATCACGTGACATGTCAAGTACTTATACAAATAAGGTTAATTATATAATTTTAAAGAAAAACATTACATAATTTGATAATATAATCATAGATTACATTGTTGTTTTAAAATGACGAATTTCTTATAAATCACCTTTTGATCATTTCTTTTCTAATAATTATGGTAGTATCAATCGCAACTTTTCTTGCCTTTGCCGCATTTTTCATCATCGTATATTATGGAATCGAATTTCTTAAACGATTTATTGAGAGAAAATTTAAAATCCATATTGGATCAATAGGTTTCTTATCAATCGACAACCTATCTTATTATGATGGGAAGATTTCTGGTCCACACCAAACTCAACATTCATTTTATATTTCTTTAAATAAAATTCATTTACAAATTAAAAGACCAAATGTGAATCGTAAAACATGGTTTACGATTATAATTGAAGATGCTTATTTTAAATTTTCTTCAATAAAAATATTCTTACAAGACATAGAACAAAGAGGATTACAAGTAAGGAAGCCCATTTTAATTGCTGCTTTACTTCAAAAAGCTTGGTGGTTATTCGCTTGGGTTGGTAAATATTTTTTGGGAAAATTATCAACGATTCTATTACAATTTTTCTTGTCAAAAGTAGCAAATTACGTTGATATAAATGTTGGTAATGTCAATATTTTAATTGAAGATTTGGGACAATTTCAAATTGAAGGATGTACATTTGGAATGAGTTTTTTTGCAGAGTTTGATAAAAAATCTCAACATATTAGTAGTAGTAATAATTTACAAGAACAATATTCATTACGAAATCATCACAAATTCTTAATTGTTTCTATCTCATTCTCATCATTATCAATTCGTAAAATTGAAACAGATAAGAATCCGTGGAATATATCTCCAACTATTTTTCTTATTCATACAACCGAAATATTTTTATCTTGTTATCTTTCTCCCGACTGCACATCGCTTATATCTTTTGATATTAACATTTACCTAAATCGAATATATATTAGTGTAGATTCCATAATTGGTTTAATCAAAGTCATTCAATCAAAGATTCCTCCACCATTAGATGATTCACCACAATCAATAATAAGTTTCATGATTGATAATTTATTGGATTCTTCATTAGACAAAAAAATGAGTATGAATCTTAAGGTGAACCTTATTGACATTAAATATGAATTTTCAGGATTGGATAATCAAAGATCTCCTTTAACCGCTCGATCGTCAATTGAAGAATTTTCTGTTTCACTGAAACAAAATAATATCATCCATTTACTAAATAATCAACAGAGATCAACTGAAGAAATCATCCCCATAAAATCGATCGAATTTTCCGTTGATCATATTCATGGGAATCTTGTAGATCATCATCATAATACTTCCCGAATTAAAGTGGAACAAGTTGAAAGTAATATATTGATTTTATTAATATTTCAACCACTCAACTCAACTGCAGATGTTGATCCAATTTCATTATCATTAAACGGGACTTTCAACGTTTTATCCCCCGAAATATCCTTGAATTGTAAACAATTTGATGCTATTAGAAGCATCATACTTGGTCTTGAAGAAAAAAGTTCATCACCAAATATTACGGAATCAAGTCAGCAGATGAATAATAATGATAATAACAATATACCAAAATTAATCGTCAGTTGTTCCATTTTAAATCCGCTTGTTAAGATTATAAGAATTCCAAATTCAAATCAGCCTGATGAATCTTCACAAATCTCTCTTGGATTTCAGGATATATTATTTGATATCAAGGGTGATTATACAGCATTTCAATCCCAACGTGACTTATTAACAAGAAGATATATAATGAATCTTAATAAAATCAAAAATAAGTTGAAATTGCCGAAGTTTAATTTGAATACTTTAAATATATTTAAGAAAAAAGAAAAAGAAAAAGCAATATTAGAAAATAAGTCGGAAGGGTCCGCATTGATTTATAATTTAGTCTTAAACTTTAAATCTCGTAATATGAAATTATATATTTTCGATTATAATTTAACCCTGAATCGTTCTTTAGAATTTAATTTAACATTTTCTGCTTTAGGTCTTCTGATTTCAATCAATGATAAAAATGATTCTAGAGCTTGTACTATATCTGTAATATCAGAAAATTTTCAAGTGGACATTAGTTGGATAATTAATCAACCACTTTTCCTTCAAATTCTCCGGCATTACAAACAAATTCGTCTACAATTATCAAAAATTTCCACGAAATTTGTCCTTCGCGATGCACTTTTACGTCTGGTGGATCAATATATTGAATTCTTCCAGTCAATGGCATTTGATCATTTGGAATAACAAGTCAGAAAACATACTATTTTGTCAAGAACTTTTTCCAAGGATGTAATAATTAGTAATCAATGGCTATGACGAATTCAGTCGATATAAAATTAAAAACGACTATTCAGGAATATAGTTCAAGAAATAAATCAACTCTATTTCCCAATCCGAAGTTTTTAACAATTTTTTTATGATAAATGTATTTAATTAAACATAATTTCTTTTTCATGTGAATTTTACAAAAACTACCTAATGTTAATTACTGTAAACGTGCTTAATAAATAATAATATTAATTTAATTTCAGCTAGATTTTTCAATTTACATGTAAAACAATGTTGGTGATTAAATCGCAAACATTTTTTTATTCAGATCACCCATGTGTATACCGGTCAGTCTTTTTTGCACGGGATACAAAAATGATTTGAAAAAAAGTGATTCTGGCCTTTTTTTGATGTATAAATTTAGATCGAATTATAAAATAAAAATCTCGATAGTTCTGACCATAATTACTTCTTCATATTATTATATAACATGCTCAATAACACGAAATAATATTTACAGATACAGAATATGATATAAGTTAATACTTTTTATTTTAAATAAGTCTATTCAATACGTGTATATTAATTAATTTTGAAAAAATTTATGATAAAATAAATATATTTAGGTGGAAACGTGTATAAATATAGCCGGTCTTATTTCATGTGTATAATTAATGAATATTAATAAAAGTTCTGGTCTAACATTCTAATTACTGTGATTATTAAATTATTAAAAAAAAAAAAAAAAAGAAAAAGGTGGTAAGTGGCAGACCAGATTCAATCGAAAGAGAGTCTGATATCCAAACATTTGTCATCAAAACATTCAATATTATTCTTTAAAGCTTGCTCTCAAAGCTTCAGAAAAATTAGATAAATAGGAATAAGAGAATACAATTGAACCTCACTATAACGAATTTCTATATTCTGAATATTTTGTTATTATGAATTTCATGAGTGGTCCCGAATTTTATTAAATAAAATAATTGAAATATAACGAATTTTTATAATAAAACTTACTATTATGTATAACGAATTGAAAATCCTGTATATATAATGAATTTTTATATTAAATTTAAACGATTTTTTTTCTTGTATTACTATTAAAGGAAATGTTAAATTATAAATTTTAATAAAGTATAAATTAATAATTTAAATATTCGCAAGAATATAATAAAATATGTAAAGATATTAAGCTAAATTTTCAGCTGTGATTTCACCTATATAGTAAAGTAAATTATAATTATTTAATAAATTTCTATAGGGATTAATTAGTATTGAACCTTGGATTAATTAATGTCAAATCTAGGATTAATTAGTATTGAATCAGTGGTGATTAATTAGTTGATTCAATTTATTTAATTTCTATAATTCAAATTTGAAATTTTAATTGTAAAATTAGGAAAACTGCATAAATTTAAAATTACAAAAATTTTAATTATAAAAAATATATATAGTCAGATACATGATCACGTAATATGCATAATACATAATGTTTGTTATTATTTGTTATTATTGCTTATTTGAGATATTTTGAATAAAAAAGAATGTGTTTGTCAAAACAAATAAAAAAACTACATAAAAAGCAGAGTTCGTAAAGGTGATGAATAGTAAAATTTTTTTATGCAATTTTCATAAAATTCAAAAACACTTTTGTCTTTAATAAAACTTACTCAATTTTCATTCATTTATTATGTTTAAATATTTGCTAAAAAGAAAAGAAAATAAAAATTTGGATGATATAGTATATTAATATTTTAAAATTAATAATTGATTATTAAATAATATTACTTTAAAATTAACATTTTTCTTAAGATATTTATTAATAAATTGTTAAAAATTTAGTAAAACATTACTGAATTTTCTTATTATAATAAATTATAACCTCTAAAAATAAAGATTCGTTATAGTGAGATTCAATTGTATTTCATAAAAAAAATAACACTAAGAATATGAAAATATAAGTATTTATCTAATCTGAATAAGCAGAATATTATCAAAAAAAAAGTATTTTTTGCATTTTGATGATCATTGATCAAGACTTATTTTATAGGATAAGTAATATAAATATAAAATATAAAAAAATGATCATTTCTTTATTAAGAATTCAATGTAATATCAGAATTTATATTTTTAGGTTATAATCATATTTTGGATTTTTTATTTGTTTTTTGTGATATCATAACTTCAATGAGATCTTGATCCTTTTCATAATTAACATTTTTTTAGTAGATTGTTTAAAAATACTTCTTTTAAGAATATTCTTATTATATAAAATATCATCTTCTATAAACTAAACCAAATAATATTTTAATAAATAATATAATTTATAATTTAATAGAAAATATATTACAAATTTATTAGCAAAGCAGTTGAATTATATCTTTCTTTTAATTTAGAAGATAAACCATATAATTGAGGATTAATTTTAGATTACTAACAAATATATTAGTTTTGAAGGAGATTTTAAGAAAAATCATTTTGCTGTTAATGTTGAGAATAAATATTTTGTTATTACTAAAGTTAAAAGGATTGTATAACATTTTGCTATTGCTAATAAGAAGTAAATTGAAAGATATTTTTATTATTATTTAGTAAGAAGAAGCTTGAATAAGATTAATTGTAAAGTCAAACATATAACATTATTTATTGTTTTTTTTTTAAAGTTCTTTTGTTAGATTGCATATTCTTCTAATTTATGTTAAACATTAGCATATTAAAGAAAAAAGTTATCAAAAAAAACATTATTTAGTTTAAAAAATTCAGTTTATTAATCAGATTATACATTTTAATTAGCTAATAATCACTAACTTAAAATCTGATTAAAAATCTGAATGATCAAAATTGAGTTGGTTTATTTATAATTGTAAAAAATATTAAATTGAAAAATTCATTTTAAAAGTATAATAGAAATTATTCTTAAGAAATAATACAAATTGTTTCAAAATAATGATTAAAATTATCTCTAAAAGACAATATAAATCATTCTAAAAAATAATATAAATTTGTTTTTAAAAGATTATAAAGATAGTTGTTTTAATTAAAATAATAAATACAATTATTCTATTAGAAATGAAAAAATAATTATTGCAAATCAAATGATTTAAAAAGTTATTTCTTTAGAATATTTTTATTGAATAATTTAAAAAATGTCATTTCAATTATAGTTACTTATTAAACTAAAGATTCAATTAAAGATAAAGCTAAATAATCAACTTATATAATACATAAAATTATAATAATGTTTTACAAACAGATTATAAATGATTCTTGCAATATTTTCTATAATTATAAAAATATTTATTTATTTTACAAAAAAAACAATGATTATGATAAAAAGTGTTATTTTCTATACATGTTTTTGTTTAACTTCACTTTTATGCAATTAATTTTGATAATATAAAAAATGTTTATAATAAACACCTAGATTTTTTAATATGTTTCAACTATTTTTCATCTATCTTTCACATATAAGTTGCAAAAAAAATAGATAAATTTAATTAATAATTAATTTTTAAAAAAAAAAATTTAATAAATTTCTTTTTTTAATAAAATATATACCCAATTTATAAATGTTATAAATCTTTTATATTTTTATAATAATCCAACTTTCTATTATCAATATCAATTAAAATACATAATATTAATAAATCTTTTTTTTACATTTATTTGTGTAAAAATTTTATTATCTTTCTTATTAATTATATTTTTAAAAATTATATCAGTAAATTTAATAAGACATAATATTATATAAACTTACTTTCTGTAATCTTATAAAAATTTACGAGCCTATAGTAAGATTATATAATTTGTATTTTCGTAATATTCTGTAATATTATGATGTAATTATACATGAAGTCAAAATGCATTATTTTGACTATTTAAAATAGTTGAAAGATTTTAACTTTAAGAAGGTTCAAAGTCGAAATAGTCAAAATGATATCATATCACATGATTTTTCATATATATAAAAATCTAAAAAAATAAAAAATATATGGGGCCTTTGCAATAGAAAGGGGGAAATAGCCGGAAAAATCAAAAGTGAGTTAATGCTAAATTTGAACATATTTTAGCATAAAAATCATATTTGGCATATAAAAGTAAAATTAATTTTTCCCGGCAGTTTTCCCCCTTTCTATTGCAAAGGCCCTATATGATCTCAATCAATATTACTCCATTTCTTATAAAATAATTACCATTCTATTCTTTGCGATTAGATAAATTCAATAAGCTATATTACATTAATTTTGATTAGCTAATATCAAAATAATTATGATTGAATTATTAGCCAAAATTATAATTTAATAAATTCTAATTTAAATAAAAGGGTCCAGATTTTAGAAACATGATCATAATTATCTTAATGTTAAATGATCCAAAAGTAATGATATTTAAATTATTAGATCCATCTAGTTGCAAGAAATTGAATGGTAGTTGTTTTATGAAAAACAGAGTGATATTGTTTAAGATTGTATATTTTTTTATTTTTTATATTATTTTATATATAAAAATCATGTGATATGATATCATTTTGATCATTGCAACTTTTATTTCAACTTTTGGGTTTTTATTTCAACTTTATATATAGATGTAGTATTACATAAGTATTATAAATATGTAATTATGCAAATATTTACAACATAGTACTTCGTAATATTATAATGATATTATATAAAAACTTATGATTATAAAGAAATTTTGAAAGTTTATAAAAATTTATACTGTAAATTTGTTTATAATAATTTATATTTTTCAATAAAATGTAATTTAAAACTTTTAGTTATATAATATTTCGTAAATTTACTGAATTTAATATATTTAAATTTATTTATATATATTTATTTAAAACAATTTGAAATAAATTACAAATAATATACACTAGTTGAATGATAACAAATAAGGAAACAATCAGGTTAAATCTGGCAACCCAGATTTGAACTGATTAGTTTCTTATTTTTTTATTTTTTTAGAATCAGGTG